GTGTTGGGTTTATGTTTGCTGAAGTAAAATTTCCTTCTTTTAGAGGAAAAAAACAACTGTCTCCACTTGAAGTAGAGAGCACAAGAAAAGTTGTACATGTGTGTAACGTGGAGCGGGTACTTGGACTTGCCAGAAATAAGTACACAATCTTACAGAACACAATGCCTATAGACTTCCTGCACAGTGATGATGATGAAATCCCACTTGTGGACCAAATTGTCACTGTGTGTTGCACACTTTCCAACCTGTGCCCATCTGTAGTGCCATTTGTTTAAGGAGTGGTGAGAATTAACAACTCTGGCATAATTGTACATTTGATAGTTGAGTAGTGGTTTTAATATACTTTTCAGACTTTTAAACCTGTACAAATACTATGAAATGTTTTTACTCATGTTGTCCATTAAATACTGTTATAAGGATGCCTGAATTCTTTGTCTTAATTTGTGTCAAAGTCCAATAATGCATTTGCTTTAGCTTTCCATGCTTGTCGCTCAGGGAAATCTTGTTTTGGTGCTGTACAAATTTTACTCTTTAAATTTTATTACCTTAAGTAATTATCAGCACTGTGCAGCTGAATTGTGTCATTTGATGTTGATAAGAAACTAAGAACAATACATCAACTGTGAAACTGATGGACTTAAATAAAACATGATTTATATAAACCATAGAAATGCACTTGGAAAAGACTTATTTTAGAAGATCACATTGATCTGTGCCAGACCCAAAGTCAGTCTGCAGCGTAGAAATGATGTAGTTAGAATAAGATGACTCCAGATGGTTAGTTTGGATTTTTACTATTTCTTACTATCCCAAAAATTAGTATTTACCTGTCAGTATTGTAACGACTACATTGACTTTGTAAGCTTATTAGAATTTCATACTGTTAAAGTATTTCATTAAGTAACGCTCAAATAACTTTGACCAAAATAAAAGAAAATCTGCAGACTTATGTTTTTGAAATGTGTTTAGTGTTGTGTCCTCTATGGCTAAAACAATGACACACAACATTTCTGGCATTATTCAAAACATTTGATCGATTCTTTATACTGTTCTGCTGAACACAACTATTTCGACCCCTCGGCAGGTCTCATCAGGCGGTGAAGGCTTTCATGTAAAATGTAAACATGACATGTATGCCGTAGACGTCACCGCTATAGTTGTGGGTTTGTTTGTTTTTTTGGTGGGGGTGGGTTTGTTTATAACTTCTATTTTTGTTTGGGTTCGTTCATTTGTTTTGCTGAACACAACTATTTCGACCCCTCGGCAGGT